GATTGTGAAATAATGATAAGATAAAAGTTAGTAAACTTGCCCTGAAATTTGCTTCTTTTGCTTGAAGATAATTCACAAGTATGGCATCATATCTACAAAGATCATGTAAAATAGTAAAAGAGACTAAATTCCAAGATAACAGATTAAAGAAAAAAATGTGTTATACACATGTGATGTATTAAAAAAAAACATACTTGAGCCAGTCAATTATAGTCTTTTTTATCCCAACCAACTTCTAAAATATTCAAAAGAGCTCCAATATTGAGACAGTATACATTGGCCCCTCTCAAAGTGAGTAAACCTGTAAAAAAATAGCCAATGATGACTGTCAAAATCTCTTGAAATCATAATATATAATATGATTAAATTACAAGAAACCATTGTATATGATTGCTAACAAAATGTACAAAAACCTTCGGTAACAACAAAGAAAGCCAAATTCCATATGAATGACAAAAGTTCTTATTTCTAATTAAGTTCACGTTCCTAAGTAAGTTACATACAACTTTCTACTGTCTCATAAGCCATAAGGACAAACTAGTCATATCATTTTAAGATATCAAATTTCTTGAATTTATTCTAAATATTTTCATTACTATGCAACTAAAATCATAGCAATTAAGAAGCCTATATTTTCATGAACAACAAAATTACCTCAATTTCATACCCAATTGTTGTCAAAGCAGTTGCAGCAGTAAGAATTAACATTCGTTGTGGATCAACCAACACATCTGCAAAAATCTACAAAATGGAACTAATAGAAGTTAAATCCGAAACAAAGTAAAAATAATACATCAAAGAAATCTTACAGAGCAACATTGAAATCAAATATTTATCGAATTTGAGTTTGTCGTCATCATCACCGTTAATCTATATCCTAATTCCAATTTCAAACACATAATTGCTAACATATACCTCAATAAATAGAGAACTACTAACAATAGCAGGAGTGAGGCGTGTATTCAATATAATTAATAACCGAATGCGAAAAGGAAGTCAGTAGTCAGAACAGCGTTGAAACTAATCATCGTTGTTGCGCTTGACGATTGTGTTCGGCAACTAGTATCAGAATCTATGGAGGGAGGAAGAACATTCACAGGGAGTAGGAGGTAAGGAAGTCGTTGGAGGAGAAGATAATGGTTGAAATTACGGATGGGAGAATCTTCGATATATATATATATATATATATATATATATATATATAATATATATATATATATAATATTATATATATATATAGAGAGAGAGAGAGAGAGAGAGAGAGAGATCCCATCACTATAAATACTTCCATGTAGATCCCTTCAGTATAGCCTTCCCAAAACGGGTAACATATGCCCTTCCATGTGGATCACATCACTATAGATGCTTATTCTTGTAGTGG